CCACATCTGCATTTGCAAACTCGTGTAATTCCTTCCCAAGTAATCACAGGAGAGAGCGGGACAGCGCGGACGAAGTACTTACGGCTCTCTCGGAACCCACGCGCAATTTCACCTTCACCAGCCTTCAAAGTCAAATTAGAACCAAGAGGAGAGGGACTTCATTTTCCAAAACACAGTTTACTGTAATGGTGGATCATAAATGGACCCGAAGTCTAATGATTCGAAGAAATCAGGAGTAGTAGCGGGCACCGAGTGGCGTCAGCATGGCCACGGCTGGTGTGACGCTCGGGTGCCCTCCCGTGAGTCCTCGCTCACACATCACGGGAGTAAGATCTCACAGGGTGGGGGGAGTGTTTCTAGTGCAATCCATAGACCTACAAAAAATGGCAAAAAACTTGTGGAACAACTAAATTTAAAAATCAACGAGCCATTAGTGACGATCAAACCATGTAACGCGGGTGACAGGAACAGTGACGGTGCAGGAGGGGACAGTGACGTTAGGGGGCTGCCACAGGCTGCAGTTTGTAAATGCCTCTATCCTATCTTAATTGCTATTTGGCAATTTTGTTTGTAGAATGGTAACACACAGGCATGGTTCAAAGCTGAGAGATATGGGTCGGCAGGTGGCATGGTGGTTAAAGCGCTGGACTCTCACATGGTCGACTACAGTTCAATTCCCAGACCTGCTGGCTTGGGTTCTCACTTTCCTTCTCTCGCTCTCTGGTGAGTGCACTTGCCCTATAACAAATTAAATTAATAACAATAATAAATAAAATTAAATAAATAATTTTTTAAAGAATTATTTTATTTAACTTTATTTATTATTATTATTGAACCATGGTTGGCCATGTGGGAGTCCAGCGCCCCCATCCACCATGCCACCTGCCGGCCCCAATAAATAATTCTTAACAAAAATAAGAGAGATGAAAAGGTATAAAGTGAAAAGCCGTGTTCCCGCTCACTCCCCCTCCACCTCTTATAAAAACCACCTCCTGAACCTTCTACAGTTTTTATGCATACAAGAAAATATGGTTTATGTTTCGATTCCTCCCCATTTTTTTTTTTTTTTGGTAGAGATTTTTGCCTTAGGGCAAGCTCACTGGAGAGAGGAGAGACAGAGACAGTGAGGGGGGGATGGCCATGCTGCAATCCCCTCTTCTCCATTCTCCTTCTGGGATTGTGGTCACACGCACACGCGCCCAGTGTGAGTTTCAAGCCACCAGGTCTAGGACTTGAACCGTGATTGGACATGTGGGAGTCCAGCAATGGAACCGCTACACCATCTGCTGACCCCCTCCTCTCCACTTTTAAAAATCTGTGTATACTCTTCAGTATCTGAATTTCTCTCTCTCTTTTTTATTTTTTTTCTTTTTTTGAGAGGATTTTTTGCTATAGGGTGTGTGCATTTGCCAAAAAGACAGAGACAGACAGAGAGATAAAAAGCAAGAAATCACTCCCCGGGGGGATGGCCACGCCACAACCCGTTCTCTTCCATTCTCCTCTTGGGATCTTGGGCACACACGCACACGCGCCTGGTGTGAGTTTAAGCCACCGGGCCTGGGACTCAAACCGCGGACAGCTATATGGGAGTTCAGCAACATAGCCATTACTCCAACTGCTGGTCCCCTGAATTTCTCTCTTAATAATACACTCTATAAATTGTCTGTAGTAGTTCAGAGAGAGCACTCTCATCAAAGATGATTTTTTATATAATTTATTTTATTATTTTTTAATTTTTTCTGTAGGATGCTATGCTTAACAGGGAGAAAGAGAGAGGAAAAAGTGAGGAATCATCCTGAACAGGGATAGTCATTCTACAATCCCTTCTCCTTCATTTTCCTCTCAGGATTTTAGGCACATGTGCACACATTTGATATTTATGAAGACAAATCAATCTTTTATAGATTCTGGATTTTAAAGCATTTTGAGGTGAAAGGAGAATGTTCCTATATTTTTTTCTAGTGTTTTTGTTCTAATCTTTATTTATTTAAGAATTATTTAGTACAATGAAATTATTATTTTATTTATTTATTTGTTTATTTTGTGAGATTTTTGCCATAGGGCACATGGGCTCGCTGCAGAGACAGAGAGAGAGAGAGAGAGAGAGTGAGAAATCACTTCCCAGAGGGGGTGGCTCAATCCCTTCTCCTCCATTCTCCTCTCAGGATTTTGGGCATGCACCCCCACACACCCAGAGTGAGTTTTAAGCCACTGGGTCTGGGACTCAAACCACAGTCAACTACGTGAGAGTCTAGTGACATAACAATTACCCCAGTCTCCTATTATTATTTTAATTTGACCAGAGAGAGAGAGAGAAGGTGAGAAAGCAAGCCTCCAGGTCCTGGACTCAAACTGTGTCTGGCTATGTGGGAGCCCAGCACCTCCACCACCACGCTGCCTGCTGGCCCTTGTTTTAGCCTTTAAAAATTAGGTATTTGATTCACCTGGTGTTTGTCCGTATGATATGGGTAGGGTCCACCTTTACTATTTCCCCCGTGCTGCCAGCTGCTATATTGAGTAACCCCCATTTCTTGGCTGATGGGAGATGCTTCCGTTACCAAATCATAGTATCAGGTAACACAAGAAGTCTTCAAAAAGTCCACGGAAAGGGCATAGTATGAGAAAATTATGCATAGCTTGCAAAATTTTTGCACCCAAATCAACTCATACTTGAATTCCATTTTCCTGCTAACTTTCTGAAATCCCTTCATATATTCCCATATGCAATTTGGCTCTGTTTCTAGACCTTCTATTTTTCTGTGCATTCTATTGAGCTGTTCCATTTTTCCTTGGTTAAGCATGTCACCAGGTCTGGGACTCGAACTGTGATTGATTATGTGTCTTAACCACCATGCTACCTGCTGGCCCTCTTTTCAGTTTGTTAGTCAGGGTCTCACTTTGCCGCCCAGCCTTGTTTTTTTTTTGGAGAGGTGTTTTTTTTGCTATAGGGTGCGTGTGCTCGCCAGACAGACAGAGAGAGACAGAGAGACAGAAAGCGAGAAATCACCCCCTGGGGGGATGGCCACGCCACAATCCCTTCTCCTCTATTCTCCTCTCAGGATTTTGGGCATGCACCCACACATGCCCAGCATGCCAAGAATAATTTTAAGTCACCGGGTCCGCGACTCGAACCGCGGTTGGCTACATGGGAGTCCAGCGACATAGCCATTACGCTAACTGCTGGTCCCACCCAGCCCTGCTTTGAGCTCGCAGTTGTCCCGCCCCATCCCCCCAGTCACTGGAGTTTACGGGCACACATCACCACGCCCAGCCTTTAGGATGGATGGGAAGGGAGCCAGGCCTCCCCCACGGCCCGGCCTGCAGAACTCAGTGTGAGAGGTAAGCACCACCGCAGTCGGGCCATTCGTGTCCGCGCAATTCAACTAAACGTGCCGAACCTGTTCCTTCACTGTTTCACTCACTATGGCACAATCCTCCCTGATCGTGAAAGGGGTTTCTGAATTAAGAAAAACTGCAAATGTTCCATGTTCATCTACCTGGTCCACCTTGTTCCATCAAAAAATACTTAGACGTTAGAAGAGGTTAGAGCATGTTGTAGGGTTTTTTTTTTTTTGGTAAATTTGCTAGAGGGCACATGTGCTTGCTGGAGAGAAACAGAGAGAGAGAGACAGAGACAGAAGGAGAGAAAGCACTCCCCATGGGGCGCATGCATGTCACAATCCCTTCTTTTCCTTCTCTCCCTTCTTTTGAAAATTTGGGCACACACGCACACTCACCTGGCATGCTTCTCAAGCCATTGGGTCTGGGATTCAAGCCGTGCCTCAACCACCAGGCAACGAGCTGGGCCTCTATCAGTTGGCCCGGGGAACAGGCCTAAGGGCACTATATCTAGTGTAATGACCTCCCTTTCGTGTTGCACAATGACCCCATGTGGGTAGGTGGCGGCTTTGAGGTGTTTCCCAGTAAGAATGGCGGCTGTACTGGCCTACACTCCAAGTCCACTAGGAGGTCTCCACGTGCGCTGAGTCACTAGAACTCACTTGACTGGCTCCAGCAGGTCTGAGATGCATCGTTTGAGGTAGGATTTACCCTCAAGGTGACCAGAGGAGGGAAATCTTAGAAGCTTTTTTCTAACTTTATAGCTGGAGAGACTAATCACATTATATCATCAGCACAGAGCAATAAAGGACAGTGATGATTACCAACGGGGGGCTGAAAAACGAGAGTCATTCGAAGAGGAAAAAAATGCCCCACGTTGTGCCCTGCTCCTATCTCCTGACCACCCATGCTGAGAGTCACCTGTATGCGTGACCTGCGGTCACTGACATGAGCGTGCCGTGTCCCCTCCTATGTGGGGGGCATTTAATGAGGCTGAGAACCAATGCTGTGGTGGAAGCAAAGGGAATCAACACAGGGAGGGAAGCCCCTGGCCCTGTGTTTATCTACTGGAAAATAAAGTTTGAAGAAATTCTGGGGGCCCTTGAATGGAGAAATTTCAGCTGTAACTGAATTACCACGCTGGAAACCACTGGTGGCTTTTATTTGCTCCTAAGAACCTGTGGACTAATTCCGCTTGTTTCTACATGAAAGGGCAACACGGAGGGTGTGGTACAAACACTGCCTGGCTGGGAGGCGACCAGGACACTATCATTTCACAGGAAGTAACATCCGGCCATTGCAAACAGATGCAAATTCCAGTCTAGTGTTTCAAAAGATATAGATATGTGTACATATATATGTATAGATGTACATTATATATATATATATGATTATTATTTTTAGTGTTGCTATAGGGCCCATGCACTTGCAGGAGACAAAAAGGAGAGACAAAGAGACAAATCGCCCCCCAGGGGGGATGGCCACGCCGCAATCCCATTCTCCTTTCGGGCTCTTGGACACGCACACGCACGTGCCCAGCGTGAGTGTAAACCACCGGGTCTGGGACTCAAACTGTGGCCGGCCATGTGGGAGTCCAGCAACATAACCATTACTCCATCTGCTGGTCCCCGAGAAGAGATTTTTAGGTAGCATCTACATACCTGTTCCAGGTGAGTCTCCCCTCTTTTTCTATTGTGAAGTTGAAGATAGGATTCCATTTTAGGAGTGGGTAATCCCAGAGTCAACTTGTTCTTTTCCACAAAATATTGTCTGGACCTCCTCCGTCGGGGGCCCCGCGATCCGGGCAGGAACGCCTCACTGCGGGAGCTGGAGCTCTTCAAGTACTGGGAGAGATTGCTGGACCTCTGCTCCGGGTCACTGTCGCTCAGCTCAGAAAACGGCTGGCTGCGACGGGCCGGGCGCTCGTACCGAGGGCTCAGAAACTCGCTCCCAAGTAGGGAGGCTGCGCTCTGCGGGCTCTTGGGCTCGCTCTTCTTCCCTGACAGCTCCATGGACGTCTCCTTGGAAGGGTAGAGCGGGTCTGCAGGCGGGTTTTCAGAGGAGCTGTCTGCAGACCCCGGCAAGGCTTCCATTGGCAATGGCTGCTTTTCCTCTCTCTTCCTCTTCCAGTGTGGGTCGTATCGGAGGTCTGAATATTTGTCTTCTCCTGGCTGTTGGCTGCCCAGAGCGGAAAAGAAATGGCAAGTTCTTAATCCAAACCGATTCGCTCATTAGATTCCGTCGATCATTTCATTTGAAATCAAGCTTTCACCTATAATTTTTCTATTTCTATGTCAAAGACGTGATCTCTAGCTCAAATGAGACCCACACACTGTGAACAAGGGCAAGAAGTTGTAGGACAATGGAATAAGAACAGGGAGGAGGGAACCAGCAGTTAGCGTAATGGCTATGTCACTGGACTCCCATGTAGTCTACCGTGGTTCGCTTCCTGGACCCGGTGGCTTAAAACTCACGCTGGGCGCGTGTGCATGCATGCCCAAAATCCTGAGAGGAGAATGGAGGAGAAGGGATTGAGGTGTGGCCATCCCCCCGGGGGGTGATTTCTCGCTTTCTGTCTTCTGTCTCTCTCTGTCTGTCTGGCGAGCACACGTGCCCTATAGCAAAAAATAAAAGGAATGGGGAGGAGTTCATCTAAATGACAGGAAAACAACAGGAAAGCGAATATCTGTCACATTTAGCCACTGAGTCACGGTCGTTCGAAAAACGCTATCACTTATGCGCGCCAACAATTCAGCGTTTCAGCGGGTAAAGATGAAGCTGAACGTCACACTCTTACGGGTTATGTACATATTTGACTGTGGGTCTGGGAAGGGCAGTACGGATCGTTGCCCAGACATTTGCCCAGCCTGCTTTTTTTGGGGGGAAAGTAAGTTTTTGTTTTTTCTTTTAGGTTTTTGCCATAGGGCATGTGTGCTTGCTGGAAAGAGACATGGAGAAGGGAAAGTGAGAAATCATCCCCTAGGGGGATGACCACACCACAATCCCCTCTCTATTCTCCTCTCAGGGTTTTGAGCACACATGTCTGCATACCCAGTGTGATTTTCAAGCCGCCAGATCTGGGACTTGAACCACTCTGGGCCATGTAGGAGTCCATTGCCTTAACCACTGTGCCACCTGCTGGCCCCCAGAAAGTAAGCCTTTTAAAATCCCACTGGATATCTACATACATAGAGTCATGCTTCTTTTCAGCGATTCTGCTTTTCACTTCATTTTGTTTTTGCAGATTTGATCAAATGTGCTATGGAGCCACACCGAGGGTTAGCCTCAGACCCCGGCTCACCGAGAAGCTCACAGACCCACATGCCTGGTCCCTGCCCACGAAACTCAGTGGACAGGTCCACTGGTGCTCGACGCTGTAGGATGGCCTTTGAACAAAACATTAAGCAGGCGGCCCTGCCTGAGGCCAGTGAGCTAGTCCAGACCATGCATATAACCCCCAAAGTCTTCTGGTCTCTCTCTGTGAAACCTCAATTTGTAAAGCACCCCTCAGTCTTAACCAAAAAAGAAAAAAAACGGGCTGGTAATATAGCATATTTAATAGACTCTTTGATCTTCAAAAGCTAACTGGGAGAGATTTTCCTCCTTGAGTATAGTAGTGCAATCCTCTAATCAAAAAGAAGATGTAAATCACCGAGGCTTTTTATGCTATTTGATATTCCCGTTGACAGAGGACGTAATTTTATGCTGGGTAAACAAACTAATGGTCCCTCGTACTAATTTACCCTTCTTAATGTCGACTAGATTTCTTTGATTTGATATCCAGCAAAGACCGAAGCAGAGTGTCCCAACTCCCATCCCTTGCTGACTGTCATTCTGAGTTCTTAGCTTACATATTAAGATGCAAAACTTCTTGAAGAAGGCTGCTCTCCCTTTTCCAGCAAGAGAAGAGACAAGACCTTCTCCTTCATCAAAATGCCTGGATGGGAAAGGTCCACATTTGCCAGGAAATGGGGTGTCACACTGTATATCTCTCCGCTCCCTGAGCCTCTTGGAATACCTGCCCCAGGCTGGGACGATGATGCCCTTTGAGTGACGTCTCCTGAATGATCTCACAGCTTGTCTTAGCCTGGACTGTCACTGGACTTAGAAAGAGTCATGGGGCACGTCCATGGGGACTTCAAAAAGTGAGTAGAAAGGAGCCAGCAGATGGTGTAATGGTTATGTCGCTGGACTCCCACATAGTCAACCACAGTTTGATTCCTAGATCCGGTGACTGAAAACTCACACCAGGTACTGGGCATGCTCGCCCAAAACTGCATGGGGAGAATGGAGGAGAAGGCACTGTGGCATGGCCATCTCCCCAGGGCGTGATTTCTTGCTTCTGTCTTTCTGTTTCTCTGGTGAGTGCACGTGCCCTGTAGCAAAAATCTCTCTCTAAAAAAAAAAAAAAAAAAAAAAATACAGGGGGCTCTGTCTTTCTGTTTCTCTGGTGAGTGCACGTGCCCTGTAGCAAAAATCTCTCTCTAAAAAAAAAATAAATAAATAAATACAGGGGGCCGACAAGTATTGTGTTGGTTGGGGGTGCTGGGCTCCCACATGGCCAACCATGGTTTGGGTCCCGGACCTGGCGGCTTACTTTCTCTTTCTCTGTCCCTCTCTGGTCAAATAAAAATAAATAAATAAAGTTAAATAAAATAATCCTTTAAAAAAATTTTAAAAATACAAAAAACAAATAAACAAAAAAAAAAACTGTGTGGAAAAACGGAATTAAAGTTACCAGTTTATTGTGGTGCCAAAAAAAAAAAA